ATTATATTGTGTTTCAAAACCATTTCAAAAGGCAAACTAAGTGTCATGACCATTGTCTGTATTGTTGATTGCTTACTGGTCATGATATTTAGAGAATATATATCCATATCTGAAGTGAAGAAGGTCATAACGTTTCAGCGTAATCCCTGCAAAATTGTTAGGGTGGTAGTGCCGCTCTTAATGGCCGGCAGTGCCGCCCTCTGAAAACTGGGCCATTTTCTACCAATTTTGGCTGGGTTGCAGGGCCCATTTTCTTCTACTTATTCCTTCTCTGGCCCCCGACCCAACTCTCTCCTTCTCTCCCAGCCGACGCCGACGCCCGTACTTCTCTCTTCCTCTCTCTCAAGCACGTGCCACCGCCGTTTCTTGCGACCTGCCACCCCGGCAGTGCCGCCCCTACAGCCGGCCGAGACTCTTATTCGCTGGTCACTGCAGGAGGCTCCTAGCCGAGCCGTTTCTTCTCTTCTCCCTCCACTCCAACGGTTTGGAAGCAAGGTGAAACCCTAACCCCTTTCGATCTATACAATATGAAGCTTTTAGTCATGGATTTCATTTTCTAGGGGGAGTATGAAGGGTTTAGAAAGGTTTTTGATGGTTGAATCGAGTTGATTTTGGATTTCACCGGTTGGATGATTTTGGGGAGAGCGGCAATGCCGCCCATGGGACCATTAATGGCACCTAGAGCAGATTCTAACTGCTATACTCAAGTTCATAAATCCGATGAAGTTCAGAATGGATTGGATTCACTTATCAAAAATTGCTTCTAAAATTTTCATACTCAATCTTTCAAATTCATGGCTAGGGTTTCATGTATTCTTTGTTTAGACTGTGATTCTAAAATTGTGATGATGAATAGACACTGTTGGAAATAGGATTTAACCAGAACGAGAAAGTTGAAGATGAAATAGTGAAGCAACTGAGGGCAGCAGTGCCGGCCTCAGGGGGCGGTAGTGTCGCCCTACCATGCTGATTCCAAATCCAGCAAAGCTTCCTGCATCATCTTCAAAATTCTTTTTCTTGTTAAAACCTGCTTGCAGCTGTGTCTAACTCATTATCCCTATAGTTTCTTATCAAGTCTTATTTAATTGCATAGATGGACCGAGGAAAGAGGAAGGTGTTGACAACTAAGCAAAAGGTCAAGAGAGGCAGGGGATAGGCGAGCTATACTCCTAGAGACAAAAATCTTGATGAAGACCTTGCTAAAGAAGAGAACATTCAGAGGATGGGAAGAACCATTCGTGTGTGGCCTGATTCTCCTTTGCACATTTCAGAGTTTGATAGCAGCTACATGAGAGATAACATTGATAGGTTCGATCTCATTCCTCCTCAAAACAGCAATGATCATAGAGTTGTTGATTATTCCATGAGTTGGAAGAAGACAGGTGAAGCTAGAGAGATTGATCCCTACTCCTCTAACAGATCCAATGGCATTGATTATAGATTTTGGAGTGCTTTCTAATCTGATTTTTATGCCACAGCCATCCTATCCAAGTCAAAGGGCAAGATTAGCAGGATGCAGTACATTGACTTTGGTGACTTGGAGAGCAGAGATGATCATCAGTTTGCTACAGCCATCAAGACCTGTGACCGCTTTGAGATGACAGATATCATGAGTTTCAAGTATGATTGGAACATGGAGATTCTTACCTAGTTCCATGCCACTTACTATTGGAACAGGGAAGTGGATGAGCTTCATTGGATGACTGATGGGCGACATTATCACATTGATTTTGTCACCTTCTGTCGTATTTTTGGTTTTGGACACATCCACAGGGGATATGAGGGGATACATAATGAGCGGCGTCTTGAGCCAATGGAAGTAAGCTTCATGTGGGAGGATCAAAATCTTACAGTTCCTGATTGGTCAAGAACAAAGCTCAAGAGCTATTATATCATGAACAATCTTTTCAAGATCACTCTCAACCCCAAAGACAATACAACAGATTTGAATGGCTTTATCACTAATGTGTTGTCTAGGTTTCCTAGCAGTGAAAAGTTTAATATTCCAAGATTCATTTGGGTTGAGCTAGCATATGCCATGGATGATGGGAGGAGATCTTTGCCCTATGCTCCTTACCTTATGTTTATGATTGAGAGAGTTACTGGCATGTGGTTCCCTAAGGATTGTGAGCACATTGTTTACAAGATCAAGAAGACCCATGGTGGCTTAGGGGGACTTGGCTCAGCTACTCAGCACACTGGTTCTGGAGGACTTGGAGATAGTGGGGCAGCAGGCTTTCACTCTTCTGAAGCTGAACACAGAGATATTCCTGAGCTGTCCAGAGCTAGAGAATAAAAGAAGAAATCAAAGTGGGGAAAGATAAGTGCATGGATGAAGGCAATCTTTACTCATTGTGCATATGCTTCACAGACTGCTTATGAGGATAGAATGGAGAACAGGGAAGCAGTAAGGCATGCTAGAGAGATGGCAGGGCTGCCACCACTTCCACCAGTGCAGTCGCCACCTCAGTTTCCTAACTTGCCTCGCCTTTCTTCTTCTGATGAAGAGCAGGATCAGCCACATGAGCACCATGATGGACAGCCAAATGATCAGTAGCATGGACACTCATATGAGCCATTCAGTCAGTACTATGGGTACCCACAGGGACAGCATTTTGAGGAGGCCCCAAGTCAGCAGGACCTTGGTGCAGAGATTCACTCTACAGAGGCCGATCCACAGGTTCAGGCAGCTTTGTTTCGCACATATTCTAGGAGACCGCGTCCTTCGACGGATCAGCCAGGGCCTTCTACATCAGCTGGGGCAGCACCTCCACGACGTTCAGCACGCTTCACTTAGCACACCCATGTCGCCGGACGTGCCCGCATCGACTCCGACAGTGGTGTGTGACTTCTCTTATTTTTCTTCTCTTTTTGGTATTTGATGCCAAAGGGGGAGAAAATTAGAGGGGTCAATAGTTTTTCGACGCCTTGCTGCTGCGCTTTATGTTCAGATCCGATGAGAGTAGTTGTTAGATTGTGAGTTTGAGAGTCGCTCAAAACTCTATTTTATGAAATTATGCTACTTTGTGACTTTATTTGCTTCGGATACGGACATGTATTCATGGTTACAATTTCAGCTTGTCATATTATGAGTTTAGATTATTTTATATTTATATGATATGTTGTAGAAATCTGATTGCTACCTGACTGATATAGTCAGGACGGCAGTGCCGCCCTATGGGGCCAGTAGTGCCGCCCTCTGTTGTATCAGCCAGAATCTTGTGTGCTTGAACTGATAAAACCTGTCATATGCATCAAGTTTATTCTTATGACACTTTGTTCAGCACCCCACAGTAGGCATGGATATAGGGGGAGGTTCCCATCACACCTAAAATGTGAATCATGGCCTTTTATGCCAAATTGAAAATTCAAATCTCTATTCACATATTTAGGGGGGGGCTCCTACACCCATGGTTCGAAAATCTCAGTTTAGATTTCATATCATTTGTAAGCTCTAATTGGGTTGTCATCAATTACCAAAAAGGAGAAGATTGTAAGTGCAATCAAGCCCTATTGTGGGTTTTGGTATTGTTGACCACCAAATTAGAGGGCTAATGAGATTTATCGAGATGACAAGCAGGGAATCGAAGAATGAGGATGATAAACAGGTGGCAGGTGTCCTAATTACAAAAGGTGGCTAGACCTAGCTCAAAGGAGGTTTAAATTCTTTTATGTTTTAAAATTGAGTTTAGGAAAAGCCGTACTATTAAGAGGGATTTTAGGACAGTTGGTCAACTGTTGAATCAGATGCTCAAATTTACAGATCTACATCCTCTCACCTAGTCAAAACAGCCAGCCAAATTTCATATCATCTTACCTATTTTGGCTAGGGCGGCAGTGCCGCCCTTAACTGACCGTTGGGCTCAGGAGGTATTTATACCCTTCAGGCCCGGCCCACAACGGTCATCTTCTCCACTAAGTCATTCTGCTCGAAAACAGACAGAACCAAAGCTCACCTCTCTCCTCCATTGTTGCTCCTCTATCCCTCAAGCTAATCCTTGATTCCAACCATCAAAACTTGAGAGAAAAGGCAGCAAAACTCGATTGGAGAGAAGATCCACTGATTCCCAAAGTCTAAGAGCATTTGGTTCATGTTTGGCCGGCGGTTCTAGAGTTTGTTACTCTTGGAGCTTGCTCCTAGCCGGCTAGGCGTCGCTCTTGTGCTTGCCAACTCATGTGGCAGCCTTGGGAGGTTTGTAACCTCATTCAAAAGCTAAGAAATCACCCCTCATTTCAAGAGTTCACTCTCTTGATTTGAGAACGAGGGTAAGGCAAGCCTTGGTGGCAAGCTCAAGCCTTTTGTGGCTTCCTCAACAACGTGGACTTAGGCAAACCTTAGTGGTGAGCTGAACCACGGGATAAATCTTGTGTCTTACGTGTTTCATCTTTACTATACGTGTTGTTTACTTTATTGCTAGTTGTTGCTAGGGTTTAGTTGCTCGATTCACTATTGTGTGAAGATTCTGTGGTATCCAGTCTTCGAACTGGATCTTGGCTTTATATTGCAGGATTAAGCAGCTAGTGGGGTCAGGTTCATATCTGTTAAATCTCAACTGTGTTAGATTTTTTTCGTAGAGCAGCAGTGTCGCCCTATAAGGCCGACAGTGTCGCCCTCTGTTCTAGCAGAGTTTTGAGTTAAATTTTTACAGGTCTATTCACCTCTCCCTCTAGGCCTCCTTATCTTCCTATAGATCCTACAGAAGTTCATCAACTCGCCCTCGTTATTGTAATAGTTTAGGGGTCGACCGGTCACTAGAGGAAAGTCCTCTAAAATCCTGTTACGGGTCTTCCATGATGACATATTTACCCCATACCTCATCCTCACCTCCATCTGCCTCTCCTCCCGCATCCAACGCTTTCTGTCTTTATCGAGAGGCGAATGTATCTTCAGCCTCTCCACTAACTCTCCACGACCAGTGAAGTCCTCCCAATCGCATGTCCTCCCCACCTAAGCAAACAAACCGGTGGCCTATGTTCATGTAGTAACTTCACTGGTTCAGTCAACTCGCCCATAACTCAGACGGCCCTCCATAAGCATTGCCACAATAGTATCCGTATCCTAGCTCAGACGGAACAACTCCTTCGCGAGCCTTGATGCCACACTTGCACTTACGGTCTGGCATCTTTGTGCGTGGCCATGGCTTAATGCCTGCTTGAAACTCCGCAAATTCATACTCAGAAGGCCAATACGATTTGGGTCCATAGTTGTACTCCTCAAAGTCACAAGATGAGAACCCTCTCTGCAAAAAACACATGTTCTAAGTGTAACATTGTATGTGCAAAACGCACACAAGCTTAGAGATAGATTAATTTCATGAGAACTCACATAATCTGGCAATCCACAGCGATAGAAGGCAGTGAATGCTCCACATTGGCTATGAGTAGTTAGTCTCGTCAACACTCCACAATGGCATTTAGGAGGATTGGATAGACGGCGCAAAACAGCGTCAACCTTCTCCGCCTTTGTCATTTCCGGAGGGTTCGGTGGCGGCGGAACCCGACGAACAAATTCTGAACATGGAACACTCTTTTAGGGGTCATAAGGAAACAACATAATCAACGGATCGAACATTTCATCGCCATCAATCCACTGATAAAAGTTGCATCCCTCTAGGTAGACATCAAATGTTAGGGGACGTCGCTTAAGTTGGCAATGGTAGAAAGCACGCCCAACTGATGTAGGATGCCTTGATTGCTTCACAAATGCCGGTAACCCATAGTAACACAACGGTGCTGGCTCTGTTGGTAGGAAAGGACCGATACCACCATGGTCCTTCGGATGGTGCACGAATTAGTTGTTATTTTAAACCGCCATTGAACCTATTACAAAGTAGTTCAACAAAGCAAAGATATGAACCAATACTATTACACAGTTCAACAATAATTTTTATCTCAATCATCTCTCTAATAATATAAACCCATGAAGCCAAACCCTAAAATAAACTTATTTAATGTAAATGGTGTCTATACATACATAGTCCAACTCATCTATACATCTAATCACCACAAAAAAAAACTTCAGATCACACACTTCCAAAAAAGTTTAGTATCAACAGTCCAACCCATACTGCTATCTAAACCAGTGCACTCAAGCCCTAATGCACTGGCAACCAAAGCCAATCACAAAAATCATAAAAGTTTAACAAGTACAACATGAACCATAATATATTAGACGTGATTAGCCAAAGCAACTTTCATTCAACCAAACGAAAGACAGTTTTGCACACAGCAGTGTAAACCACAGCAGTATATAAACATCAACTAAACACAAAAAACAGAGGTGAGGGAGTCATATCTCATACACGAGAGGGTTCAAACCTGAAATGCAAATGCAAACTTGATCAAAGGCAAATAAAGGATGGAAGGAAGAGAAGAGAGAGAACACTGGAACATGAACTCACCTCGACCTCGTCCAGAGTGAAGGGAGAGAGAAGAGAGGAAGAAAAAAGGAGCTAGGTCGCGGCCTTTATATGGGCTTATCGCGCCAGCCCGCTTGGCGCGATAGCTCTGTCGCGCCTGAGTCGCTGGCGCAACAGGGTGAGGCCCACGACCCGTCATGCCAGCTCCGGTCAACGATGCGTGCCACCGTGGCGCCCCTTGTAGCGCCAGCGCATGTGGCGCGACAAAGTGGTGTAGTCACGCCAGCAGCGCTGGCGCGACCAAAAGGGTCAGATTTGTAAATATTTGTTTTTTTGGATTAGTATTAAAATATTGTTTAAAAAGATTGAAAATAAATAAAATTCCGCAGCAATAGCAGCATGCATGCGTGTGCACTCATCAGAGCAAGCCACCAAGGTTTTAATACGAACACCAACCTAGCGGGCTGTATACCAATGCCATATCACTTGCATAAGTCCAAATACATACTAATATGAATACAGTACACGGTTCTCATGAGGATCGTGTTGGCCTGCTTGTTCTACGCATTCCAGCGTTGATAATAACTATCTATACTGAATTTGGAGGAGCCCTTGAGAAGCTTGCTGCGTTGCATCTAGCACTGACAGACATATTTGCGCAATGCTCTCACTTCTCAGCAGCAGCTTCTCTCTTTTCTAGTTTTCTGAACTGATGGGGTATGACTGGGATATTTGGCACATCAAAAGAAGAAGAAAAAAATATCTCCTTGCATCTCTAGCCATCACATGATTATACTTGCATGCATGTACTATACTTAATAAAAAAACACAAAGAAAGTCTGAAAGGCACATCAATAGTGCCCTTTGGCGTTTGTTATGCAAGCATGAACAGGTTATGTACATAGCTGGACTTTTACGACATTTGATACATATTTGAAGACCCGTGCCACAGAAACTTTGCAGACATCAACTAATTATTTGAAGGAACGACATCAACTAATTATGAAATATACTCACTAAATCTAGAAGTGACTGCTGCCCTGTCATGCTACTAGCCACTTATTTTGATTACTCAGAGGGTCTCTGGTACGTGTTTGCTGCTGAACTCTTTTCAGTGGAGAGCCTCTCAGGCCAGTAAAGTACGCCTTAGATGTTGGCCTAAGAAACAAAAAATGTGAGAAAGAACGTGTGGTGAGTAGAACTCGTCTATATGCTCCGATTCTTATCTTCACGAGATGATTCTTGTGTGCTCTCTGACACATATGAAATACATGTTACTGCACCCTGTATTCAGCTGCCTTGCGGCCGATCTGATGATCAACAGAAAGACCAATTCGCTAGCATCACGGACTCTTGTTGTCAGTGGCTGCATCACCACATGCTTCTCTTTGCAAATCCCTGTTAGTAACGAATTGATGGCTACCTTATCTCTAAATTCTTGTGCAATGCTCTTTGCTAGCTGCTGCTCTGAACTGAAAGAGATCCACACCAATTGTTTGGAGTGTGGCTCTCTTCTGAAATTTCGATGCGGCCTCGATATTTCAAGCCAACTTGTAACTTTTTCAGCACAGCACATGCTAACTACGTATCCTTTTTTCTGAGATCTCATGGGCTCACCTCACAGGAATCCACGTATCCACTCGACTGAACTTCACAAGTCCACGCCAATAATTCATACAAGTGCAACTAGCAGGGCTGCTCTGTACAAGTGCTACTAGCAGGGCTGCTCTGTACTGCATGATTCTGCATTTGACATGGCAAAATATGTGGTGAAAACAACATACTAGGTAGAAACATAAAAATCAATTTAAAAATATACTTTGGTTACTAAAAAATGAAATTTGGTAATATCCGTAGTACTTACAAATATATACTCACATGCAAAAGCCGGGATACATACATGTTTTTGAAGAGAAAAAAAACATACAAAAATAACAAATTTCAGCTGCATGTGCATATAAAATCTGTCATTTTTGTCTGAGTTTTTATAGTTTGAGTTTGTATCCCAACTTTTGCACATGAGTACATATTTGTAAGCACTATGGATATATCAAATTTCAAAAAAAAACGACCACAATATATTTTTTGAATTGTTTTTCATGTTTCCATTTAGTATGTGGTTTCTACCACATATTTTCCTCTTGGACATGCCTAAAAAATTACATGCAGGGTTGATCGGAAGCCTTTGCTCTACAACACGGACTCAGCAACTACAGTAGCTAGAAAGAAGAAAATTTAGGGCCTGTTTGGCAGGGTTCGGACTCCTCCAAAAATAACTCCAGTTCTGGCTCATCTGAAGAAGTGGATTCTCAGAAAAACCCAAAACCCTTTTAAAAAAGGTTTGGCAAAAGGGCTCTTGTTTTCTTAGGAATGGATAAAAGATATCAAATGTCCATAGTGCCCTTATACATGATAAATAAAAAAACAGCTAATTGACAATCTAACATCGATTATTTTTAACATTGGTCATGATTAAAGCAGTAAACTATATTTAAAATATTATTTAACAAAAACCAGGGCTAAATCAAACACTGTATGGGCCAAGGCCCAAAACGGCCTGCACTACTCTATCTGCAAGAAGCCACACGCTCCTCTCTCTCAAAAAAATGAAAGGAACGCCGTATGCATCCTCATCCTCTCGTGTTCCCGCATGCTCACGTTGTAGTACAGTTCATGAGAAGCAAATATAGTGGAAGTTCTAGTGCTAGATTCCCAATCCACTTTAGTCATAGCTCTAATATCAACTAATGTTCTTTTCTACATGTAGGACAATGATGTGAAGGAACTAATAGTTCAAAGGTCAAGAACATGTTAAGATCACATCAATGTTGCAATTAAATGCTATGAGATCCAACTCCTGCTATTAGATCAAGTACCATCAAGAAACGAGATAGGAAAAATTTGGGGAGGAGATATGAACGAAGAAACATAGAAAATGCATTTCTAATTTAGGGTACTGTTGATACTTTTGCCTCAATATACTTGTCTGAATATGTTTATTTGAAACATCAAGATTACTTTGAGTTTCTGGATATTGTGTGATTTCTATATCTGATATGGGTTACGTATGGGGATTTTGAATACCTACGTGTTTTTTTCGTGTGCGTCTAACGTCATGCGCGGCACTTGTCTGCCCACGGTCGCGCAGCCTGGAGGCACACAACTTGCGACATGTGCTTTTTTGTGTGGACCCAATGTCATAAGACAATTGGCTAGGGAATAGAATACTCATGTGCTTTTTTGTGTGGGCCCAATGTCATGAGCAGCGCTCGCTAGCATGTGGTCGCACGATCACCTGCAGGAGCACGACTTTTTTCCAGCTTATGCCCCCATGTCTTTCAAAAAATAGAAAGTTAATTAATTTATTTCTAAAAGTAGGATGGGTATCGAATCGTATGTTTCCAGGACACCAAAGTTGTAGTACAATTCATAAGATATATGGAACCAACAGGCTTCTATATAGCGTTTTGTAAGATTCAGTAACTCTTATTATATCTTCTATGATATAATGAAAGAGTCACAACATAAAGCGCAGGTTCCTAACACAACATAAACCATTATTCAGATTCTTAGTTCACTTTAACTGAAGCTTTAATGTCAACTAATGCTCTTTCCTACAGGTTGGATAATGATGTGAAGGAACCAGCAATCCAAAGGCCAAGAACATATTAAGATCACATCAGTGTTGCAATTAAATGCTATGAGATCCAACTTCTGCATATCATACCAACAAGAAACGATATAGGAAGAATTCGGAGAGGAGATATAATGGGTAGAAACATAGAGAATGCATTAGTCTGACTTAAGATATTGTTGATGCTTTTTCCTTGATATACTTTGAATTTGTAGTTTGATTTTCTATTTTTTTTAGATTTTGTGTGATTTCTACTCCATCCGTTTCAAATTATAAGTCATTTTGTCTTTTCTAGATAAATAGCAAAAGTTAAGAATCTAGATAGTGTATGTCTAGATGCATAGTAAAAGTTATTATCTCGAAAAGTCAAACCACTTATAATTTAAAACATAGGGAATACCTTTTCGTGTGGGTCTAACGTCATGAGCAGCCCTTGTTCGTGTGCGGTCGCGCATGTGCCGGTAGGCATTCAGTTTTTTTTTCCACACACGCTCCACCTCTTTTCAAAACCAGAAAGAATTTTTTTTTCAAAAGTAGAGTGGACAGTTAGATCGCATATTTCCCATGCTGTAGAATAATTCATAAGATAATATATAGAAACATCATGTTTCATATACTCTTTTCATTCCAACTTTTTTGAAGAGTTAAAACATCTCAAGTTTAATCAAAATTATAGAGAAAATTATAAAGATTTATGACATCAAATGGGTATACTATAAAAATATAGTTTATAAAAATCTAATGATACTTATTTGGTATCATAAATGTTATTATTTTATTATATAAATCTTGTTCAAACTTGAGATGACTCCCCAAAAAAATTAAAATAAATTATAATTTGGGACAGAGGCATAGATGGAGCCTTTTGTAAGACTCAGATAACTTTATATATTTTTTGTGATTATAATAAAAGAGTCAGCATAGGAGTACAAGACAACGAACATCGCGATACACACGGAGGTAGCCTGCTTCTTCTTCAATAATCCGATTGGTACTACTACGTATTCGTAGTGCATGAACGGCTCTGGTCGTTCGCTATGCTCGCAAGCCGACCGTGCAACCATGCATGATGCAACGGATCAAACTGTGAAGCGGTCACATGTTATCAGGTGAAGTGTGCGCACTCGGCGTGGGCGCGTGCACCGACGTGCTCCCGCCATCATCACACTCTCCATGTCGGGCAACACGACCATGCGTCTCCTCATCGGAAACGCATGGCGCCGCCGTGGCGGCCGCCACCACCGTCGCAGGGGGAGGAGGGCGCCGCGCGAACCCGCGGTAGCCGGCGGGGTTGACCTGCTCGCGGTAGCGGCTGATGTACATGCTCATGGGCTTGACGTAGTCGTCGAAGCCGAGCGCCTGGAGCGAGCACGTGAAGTCCTCGGGCGCGATGGTGCGGCGGTGCTGCGCCGTGGCCCTCTCGGCCGCCTCGCCGGTGAGGAAGCCGACGAACTCGACGGCGCAGTCGTGCGTGAGATCCTTGGCGCGCGAGGAGATCTTGACGCGCTTGGGGATCACCTGCCGCATGAGGCGCACGAGGTTAGCCATCGGCAGCCCGCGGGTGCCCATGACTCCCTCCCCGTCCGACGACGACGCGCCCTCTGCCGCTGGCGCCGGCGCCGGCGCGGCGACCTTCTCGTCACGGCCGCCCTTCTTCGCAGGACCTGCACGCACCCAAACCCAACCAAGAAATTGTTAGCTGGATCACAGTGTGCTTCTAATTTGCAGCCATCACGTTAAGTAGAGATACTATCACTTGCATACATTGCTTCGCCTTAAGGCCCATCCTCTCCCTCTCTCTCGCACACTCCCGTGTGTGCTGTAAACTTGTGGTGATGAGTCTCTTGCCATGGGATCCTCCTCCCTATTTATAGCAGCGGTGCCGGGTTGAGTGTCTGCTACAGGGGCTGCTACTGCTTGGGCACACGCAGGAAGCAACACATGGGACGGTGGGGTGCCGCGGCGTCACGGTCGCGAGCCCCCCCGGCACCTGGATCCACGCACGGGCGCGTAACCCTGCCCTGCCCTGCCCGGCTCTTGCCCTGGCTGCACGGCCCGCGTCGTTGCTGCTCGCCTCCCAACTACCGGCAGACGCAACGCAGGGCAGGTCGCCGAGCGGAGAGCACCTTTCATGAATTAATGCCCATGCATCTCGATCGCCTGCCGATGTAGCCCTGTGGAAGGAAGGGTAACTCCAAAAGGAGGCGAGCCGCGGGCGTGGGTGACGACTGACGACGTCGGGAGCGCTTGGCTTTTGGCTTGCGTAGTTGCGTTGCGTGCGTCCGTTTGGCGCAGCCCACGGAGTTGACCCCTGTGCAACCGTGCTATACTAGCCGGAATATCTGTTCGCTTTCAGATCTCAACAAGCCCTGCCCTCTCTTTTTACAGAAAATCAGTTCCCCCCCCCCCCCAAAAGTATTAATTGTAAGTGCTATTGTTTAGCGCAGCCAAGCATTGAAATCCTCTGGAGTAGGATACTCTATATTTCAAATATTGAATATATTGTACCACCTTATATCCTAAATTATAGATCACTTTGGCTTGATATGCGCCTAGACATATGATATGTCTAGATATATAATGAAAGTTATGTATTTGAAAAAAAAAACTAAAACAACCTATAAATTTGAACGGAAGAAGTACATTCGAAGAAAATCTTACCTGAAGCTAAGTGTTGAATCCTGCCCAAAGATATCATATCTTGCAAGCAATAAATTATGTCAAGCAATTACTATATTATTTGAAATATCATCACAACAAAAAAAAGTATTGTTTGAAGTATTATTAAATGATAAGGCATTTTAGGAAAAAATGGACGGGATATTAAGCTACTTGCTATTTTAAAAAAGAAACACTAGAGGTGTGAGAGTCAACCCTCACATCCCTAGCTACAAGACGCTTGCGACCAAACCAGCACGACCGCCACCTCTGAGTCCAAGAAAGCTCGCGCTAGTGAATTCCCACCTCAAGACGGCAACAGTGGCAGTGCCCACCAACCTGCTACGTGCTATTATTGGTTGTCCGCTAGCATGGCTTGCCAAGCTCCACTGCCGGGCGCAATGACAATGTGGAAGCCCATACTAGGGGAAAGAAAAGGGCGCCAGCTACATATCGTCATCAACATGCCCAAGACAGGGATCACCTTCTACAACCCTGTTTTTATGACCTTCACTCTGATGTATTACCCATTACTCTCCATCCTTCACTCACCTCTGGACGTTCATTGGGATCGATCACCTTACTTTTCGGTTGCTTTATGTTTCTAGCATGCTCTCTTTCCACCTCTGCATGCCACATATGCTGCTTCATGCCACTTTCGCCTATCTTGTCATTTCTGAACTATTTATCTTTAGCCCTAATGTTGCCAATCTTATCCTCATGCATGATGTGCTCATCTTGGGTGCAAACCACTTTTGGCTGCATTGTGACCTCAACAGTGCCCTAGCAACGGCTGAGACTCTAGAGGACGAAGAAGAGCTTTTAATAGCCCCAACATCCACCGCTCGTCATAGCCTTAGGAACCAACGCTTGGAGTGTGGCTCGTGGAGACCGGTGATATTCCCAACCAATCTTGCCAGCTCAAAAATCTCCTACCCTTGATTGAACCCCCTCCTCATGTCTTGTCTCCCTCAAGGAAGCCCGTTGCTCAGGGACAAGACATGCCTCTGCCACACCAAATGGGACATTGTAGGGAGTCGACTCATCCTTTACTCCACCCCCAACTAACCGCAACGTCATACTTGAAAGCCCTCCTTCCTCCACCCCACTTCCCAAGCTCAACGCCGAAGCTTTTCCAAACGCCCCCTCCGCTTTTGCTGCCTCTCCGCAACTCACTTTGTGCGGGACTATCACGACCCTATGGACTGCTGCCGTTGTGGGTGCCACATTCATTGCCAACCCGAGTGTGTCAATGCCGCCCTGTAGATAGATGCCCTACCTAAGGGTTGCTCCCACTGCCCCAATTGTCTCCACCCACATGTCGTTACGCCCTGTTCCCTACACCACCTGTCCCAACATAACCTCGCCCACATCATCGGCACCAACGCTAACCCCCGATCGCTCCATCCCACTCCCACCTATGACCACCAACTCTTGCTCCCACATGAAATTCACCCCTCCAACATATGTTGTTCCTGTCCCCCCCCACCCCCACACACACACCCCTCACCCCCCGACTTACGTTGTTGTTTCCTTCTGGGCTTTGTAACAACCCTTCTGAAAGACCGAATTGACTTATACACTTCGAAAGATTATATCCGGGCCGCTAGGCTAAAAGAAGGCAATAACTTGGGCCAACAGTATGGCCCAAGGTACATGGCCCTCGGGTTCGTCATCCAAGCCGTGGCATGCTCCTGAGTCTCCGCTCTCTAGTGACTGAAATCACCATCTCTAATGCGCTGTTCACATCAAACTACACCCATTGGTGGCGCAGATGCCCAGTCAATTAGTGCCAACTTAATCATTAACCATGGACCAGATTGAAAGCTGTTGTGGCAAGCAAAGCTAAAGCCGCTGCATCAGAGGATAACGTACCAGACCTTCCGAAAAAAAACCCCAACCCGGTAACATGGCCAATTGGCCATTGCACAGGCCAGCTCAGTTTGCAGGAACCGCTTTGCTAGCTGCTCTTCGGCTCTCTTTAGTCTTTACCGCTAACACTTCAACAGAGCCGCGCAACTTCTTTGAACGGCAAAAGAGTACGTGTTCTGTCTACCATGTACTCTGCACTCTTTCGGAAAGTTTCACAAGATCCTAAACGTACTAGGTAAGCAAAATGCAACTGCAGGCCTACAAATTGAAAGGAGATGCTTGGAGCTCTTCGTCTTTTGGGGGTCTGTTTGATTAACGGGCACAGGTTTTGGCACGTCTAACCTGTACATGAAGAAGGTGTTTGGTTAGCTGTCGCCTGCCAGCCTGCCACTCCTGACTCCTGAGTTAAGCCATGGCAAATTTAGTGTTGATTGTGTGTTGGATTTCGACAACAAGAATCGTCTGGTTTATTAGACATGTTACATTGTTTTTCTCTCACAACAAATCAGCTTTAGCCGACTTGTCAGTCGCAGAAACCATCAGCCAAACAGCTCTTATGTTTGAACTTGGATATGCTACCTACATGCGACATGCCTAGTTGTGATCTGTTGAAACGAACCAACGAAGCCCTTAGTTAGTTTGAACAGACTCCATCCACCTCAGAGGTTGAGAGCTTTGGTCCCGGTCAGCTTAGTTCGGGGCTGACTACTTTGGACCAACGGCGCAAGAAAAGGCAGGCAAAAATACTTAGAAAAGGATCGTCGTAGGCTCAGCATGATTTCCCATCTTTCATTTTTCATTCATGTTGAACCTTTGAAACCATTTCCGTGCATATGCATAGCAAGGCTCTAGCAAATTCCAAACCAGACATCTGCAACTGCAAGGAGATAACCTCTGATGATCATTGGTCACTTAACTGAAAAGCATACCGACAGGCTTCAATGAGACTGACACAGAGTCGACGAAAATCTAAGCAGAGACATGATCCACACGCACGCACACGCACACAATCACAACCTAGCAGTAGCAATCAACGGTGAACCGACCGATCGATCACTCAACCAGACGCAAACGCCGCCAGAAGAGTGAACAGAAGCGCCGAGGTGGCGAGCCATTCACGCGGTAGCCAGCACGGAGTCGGAGCCGAAGCCCTCGAGCCACTCGTCACGTGACCACCTCCGCCGTCTTTCCCGCCCGAACGCCCATCGGGACCGGACGAGAGCTCGCCGTGCTCCGTTCCCCCTGCTCCTTGCGCCGTGAGGTTACACGGCACCAGCACCGCGTCGATCATGTACACGGCGACGGCTTCCTCGTCCGCGAGCGTGCGGGTGACCCTGGCCACGTTGTGCGTCGCGGACACCAGCGTCACCTTGTCGCGGACGTTGTGCACCACCAAGTCGAAGTCGGACTTGCCCCCGTCGAGCGAGGCCATCGTGCGCAGGTCTTGGTCGCCCGCCTTGAGCGCCTGCATGGAGTAGTGCCCCGGCGCGCCGTGGTACAGCACCACCGCGAGCCTGGCGTCGGCGGAGAGCCTGTTGAACGTTGGCTGGAACGCCTCCACCGCCTTGTCCGCCGGGCAGAAGAACGTGAAGCCGCCGCCGCCGTCGTTGGCCTTCTTCTCGAACGTCGCGGCGGCGTCGCCCGTGGCCGTGACGAGGCCCGCGAAGCGCCCGCACCCGTTCTTGGACATGACGTCCGAGACGTTGCGCCTGCTTGCGTCGGCCGCCGCCGCGGGCGCCTCGGCCTCAGGGGACGATATCACGCCGCTCACCTGAAGAACCGAAATGTTGTAGGGCGTCTCGTGGACGGACCTGACGTAGAAGACGGTGGTGCTCCCCGCGTCGTCGCCGGCGTCGTCCTGGGGCACGAAGGCCACGCGCCCGCCCCGGCGCTCCGCGATCTTCACCATGCCGGCGCTCCCGGGGGCGTCGCCCGAGGCCTGGAACAGGGTGGACACGTCCGCGGAGCCGCCGGGGAGGCGGTGCAGCTTCGCGTCGTCGTAGTAGTCGACGAGGACGTGGAGGGAGAGCACGTGCCGCAGCGTCTCCCGCGGGAGGCCACGCGCCTTCAGCGGCGCCATGTGGGCGTCGTCCACGGCGAGGACCGTGATCGTGTTCCGCCCGTTGATGTCGTCCGCGAGCCCCGTGGCCGCGAGCTCGCGGCTGAACTCCGAGAGGTCCCGGCGCCCAGAGAGGATGGCGGTGATGTTGTGCGCGGCATGGCATGCCGGCGCCGAAGTGGTCGCCAGCACCACTGCGGTGACGAAGAGGACGAGGGTGGACCGGCCGCCGGTGGTGACCGGCATTGCTGCGCTGGTACGAACGCCTCCGGGCACTAGATTGTGTGGGGTTTCAGTTTCTCAGCAGTGCAGGAGGTGCTGATGGACACTAGGCATGGAGCGTTTCACGGAGCTTGGGATGCCTGTGGTTTTATGGGAACCAAGTGGCTGCAAAATGAGCATGCTGGCACGCCGCGCTGTCCTGTGCCCGGCGTTATAGTTCCATGCAGCTAATAATTTGGCTTTGTTCAGCATTACATTGGTGCAATATGTATGCGCATTCAAAATGTTCAGAGATCTAGTAATTTATACCTTCCAAATGGAATCATATATAGAGTATTAGAGTTGTGTTGTTGTAGCATGGGACATGTTTCGCCATTTCGTATGGTCAATCGAGCTGAAGTGCAGAGTTTCAGGTTATGCCGGCTTGGCTTGATCAGTAAAGACTAAAGAGTGGTGGTGCAGAAGGAAACGTCGCTAAGATATTCATCCTAGTGTGTTGTCTTATACCCGGTGCCCCCGTATTGTTCAGTGCTGTATTTAGTCACCTAATATTTGCTCAGAATTCGTATCATCATAAGTGACATCTTATATAACCCTTTCTTTGTATATGGACATCATATATAACCTTAGAACCGTTGCTCAGCAACTGCTTGGAATTTCAGATATTCAATTGCTGTCAAGAGCAGAGTCTTATTAGGTGACGACGACTCGTCTGAATGACTGAACACTCTGCCGCAGTGGTAGAGTGGTGTTGCAGAAAAGCAGGTTCTTTCCCTCTGAAACAATGAAATGATTCGGCCCGTTCAAATCCTCATTTAGCTCGGCCCATTTCTGGATCTTGTCACTTGCTGCTGTTCATCCCCGTATAAACTCGCGAGGTTCTCCTAACGAAAAGGGATAAAATCGTTCAATGTCCCAGTGTCCCTCAAGGATGATTGAGTGAACGGCTCTTGGTTAAAATTCATGCGTTGCCCACGTTCGTTTCAAAAAAAAAAAAAAAATCATGCCCGCCGGCGCGCCGGGAGATGAGATCAATGAACCCAAAGAGGAGGGCAGGACCGCAGGAGGCTCCATAACTTTGTTCCAGAATTGTGCTAGACCGCTCTGAATAGGCGAGCACTGAAGGTGTTCCTTGTTCGTGTACAGGCGCACAGCTAAAGCGGCGTTTCTACCGCTGCCTTTTGCCCTCACCTCACATGTCTTGGCAAATGCGTCTCCAGGGCCACGGGCCACGGCTTGGGGAACCTGTCCTCGCGCCGCGACGTCGCTTTAGCCATGCCGGTAATGGCTCACTTGGACACAAGCATGTGGGAGTCGGTGGACGAAAGGTGAAACGCGAGCGGCAGATCGGTCACATGGCGGTGGCGGGCGAGATCGATCGGGCCGGCCGGCGGGGATGGTCTCGTCTTGTGGCCCCTGCACTGTGCAGAGCTTTCACGTTACTACTTACTACAGGGGGCACTGTGCAGAGCTTGCACCATGAACGTGACAAAAGCAGCATATATAACATACAGATACAAAGTTAGCAATTTGAAAGATGACAATGTTGTGCATGGGCTAACATACTCTTTGTATTTCCGTTACAAGCTTAATGGAAATGGGGTTGCCTCGTGTTGAAAAAAAATTTGAGTATATTAGAGTTCCTAAACACCGGAGTGTCTTGTATGAGACAATGTTTTCCATCATCGAATACAAAATCATTGTTCCAAGCAGAAAAAATACTTCATCATTTCTTATATGATCTAACATAATTTATTTAAGACTTAGGGTGCGTTTGATATGATCCAGATTCTCGAAAAAACGTTTCGGATCCAGATTCTCTCATGAAACGTTTTGGATGATGGATCAGAATTACTAGACTGTTTGGTTGTAGGCTGGATTCTGATTCAAAAAATATTTTTAATATAAAAAACATATAAATGAAAATATACTTTAAAAAGTTTCAAACTTTTTGTGGACGAAGAACAACTTAAATACAACCTATTTTAATTTGTTGTACTTAAAAAGAATTAACTGAAAAAATAACATGAGAAGGAAGAATGAGAATCACTGTGAAACCACCTTTTCACCGTTTCAGGTTTGAAGGGGAAACACCGCGAAACATTTCGAATCGTTCCGAGCAGAAACGATTCGCTCGAATGTTGTTTGGCTCCGATTTCAACGATTCTCCTCAGAATCGGAAACGGTTCTAGGTGCCAAACGCACCCTTAGTTGGTCTCTAAGATTCTGGTCTATTGAATCAGAGGGGAACCTATGTATACGCGCAATTTGCTAAGAGCATCAACACGCTCAAAAATATGAGATTGTCTAAATAGAGCAGAAGCTCAAAAATCGATGGCAATATTCAAATGCATCAATACTTTTTTTTCCTTTTCCTGAGAGCACACTTCAGATTTAGGATATATTGATTTGGCACCTAAAATATACGCATCAGAGATTAAGATTTTTATAGAGGATCTTATCAATTTGCATGTGTATAGCAGAAAAAAAAAGACACGTTGAAAAGGAGACATACCAAATAAGATGTGTAAATAAGTAACACACTAATACATGCAAAACGTATGAGAAACAAAGGCCCGGTTCGTTTGGCTAAAAAGCCAGGCTGAAAAGTATTGTTTGCTGATTTGTTGTGAGAGAAAAATACTGTACCATGACTGATAAGCTAGGCTGATAAATTCAAGCAAACAGGGCCAAAGCTGCGTACTTTCAAGAAAAGTGAGACAATATTAAAAATATAGAAATTTTAACGAAAGAATTCACCAATTGGCAAATTTATTCGGGAGTTTAGATACAGTTTTTTAAAAGAAACTAAAGATACAAATTGTTATCCATTATTTGCAACCATGCATCTAAATTGATAGTTATGTAGCTTGCATTTGAGAGGAAAAAAATCATGCTTTACCCTTCATATGCATTGCAATGCATTTGCTATATTTCAGTATTAACTTCAAAAGGTTTCGAAGAATAACCCATCTATTCTAACAGGTCTATTAGAAGTTTTACTCAGCACATCAACGTATGATTATAGATACAATGTTCTCAAACAGTTTCATTTCAAGACTGTTTATACAGTGATAAATTAATTATACAGTGATAACTTTAAAAGGTTTTATTTTGATTATTATTAAATCAAGTACTACTAAATAAAAAAAACAGTTACTGCATTCCAATTATAAAAACAGTTACGGCATCGTGGGCTGCTTCCCAGCGCAGCAGGAAGCCGAGCCTTGGGGCGGCTAGGCCGAGTAGGCCTTGTGCCCAGAGCTGCAGGCGGCCAGGCCGAAAGCTGGGCCGGCTAAGCCGCTGGGCCAAGCCGAGTAAGCTCTCAGACCAAGCAGATTTTGAACAGTGCAGCAGCGGTTCTTTTTGTGTTTCTTGAGTTTCTTGATCCGTTTCGCGTGCCGTCTCTTCCGTTGGCTTACTGCTGTTCCGAGGGACTTTTCTCATCTCTTTAGTCACCTGTTGGCTTGAGGGTTTCGAGTCGGGCTCTTGTCTCTTCCTTATAGAGATGTGGAGCACCGTTCCATTTTTCTCAGTGCCGTGTCAGTTTTCCAATCGCTGTGTCCGTTGTGTTTCTAGTGAACATCCACCACCACCGGTGTCCCGTTGTGTTTCTAGTGAACATCCGCCACCAAGTGTCCGTTGCTAGGTTCCTATTGAACCAGTTGGTTCAGAAGCATCATATTTGCAGTGTTTGGTACTTTTGGATGGTGATCTTAGGACAACAACCATTTCGAGAGAAATTTTGAATTGGTTCTCATTCATCCCCCTCTGATCGTCTTCAGTCCTTCAAAACCCTACTCCGCCGTTTCCCTGTATGCGAGAAAAAATTACCGAGTCCAGTGGCGAAGTTAAAATGGGCCGCATTTTTGTCCAACCCAAACCACCTTTTGACACAAAATCCACCCTTCTGCCTTCTCGAGTGGTGATTGCGCCTATCATCCTCCATTCATCTTCTTCATATGAGCTTAGCTCGTCCGATAGCGCCTAGAATCTGGAACCTATACATGGCCAATCGGACCGCACGGCATGGCACTATGAGGCACGACAACTTAGCCGTTCCATGCCTGATAGTGCCGCCGTGCCGGAGTTGTGGCCCAGGCACGGCACTACGAAGGCTTAACCGTGCCATGTTGTGTGATGGGCACGATAGCCCACCGGGGCCGTGCTGGCCTGAGTCGTCCCCGCAGGAGGTGGAGTGGCTGGGGAAGAAGATGCGCCACCACCACCGCCGGCCGCACGCTGCTTTGCCACCACTGTCGCCGACCGCACACTGCCACTGGCCACGCGCCATGCTCAGATGTGCCGCCACTGGGCGCGCGCTGCTTCACCGCCGCTGGCCGGGGCATGAGGGAGGGAGAGGGGGCGCTGAGCAAGGCAGGCGGTGGTGGGGTGGTAGTGGCCGAGGTAGAGAAAGGTGAGGCCGGAGAGGGCAGCACCACTCGGGACGGGAGGTGCGAGCTCATGAGGAGATGCCATGGGGGAAACAGGGAGGGATGCCCTGGGGACTGGGTGCGAGTTAAGGAAATGAGAGGAGAGAGAGAAGTTAGGGTTTAGGGATGGAGAGATGCTTATATACTGGTATTCAACGGTTGTGGTATCCAACGACTGTGGTTCATCAGTGCTCATCCAACAATGAAAAATAAGCAGGCCACATCATGCCAGCCCAATAATCATGCCGTGTCCGGGCCAACACTGTGAGCCGGAGTTACGGCCCAGGCAAGGCACTACCACTGGTGAAAGTTCTAGTTTAGTTTTGATGAATTGATGAAACCATAAGTGCTAACCTAGTTTATCAAAGTGATTGTGAGATAGGTAGCACTACTCCAAGTGGTGAAGCAAATGAAGATCATGACTTGATGATGGTGATGCCACGGTGGTGATCAAGTGCTTGGACTTGGAAAAAGGGGTAAGAGAGAAACAAAAAGCTCAAGACAAACGTGAAATTGATAGAGACTTTTCTGTTTGGTGATCGAGACACTTAGCGAGTGTGATCACATTTAGAATCGATAGCCATACTATTA